ATATGTGACAACAATGTAGTGTGCTTAGAAAAAAGATGTGTACAGAGATCTTATGCACAGGCTATGGCACCAAATTTCAAATGGCATCTCTGACCATCTCAAACATAACATTTCTCTTTTTAGAAATCTGAAAAAAATCTGTTTCCTCTTCATTCAATATGGAAAAATATTCAAATGTATCTTCTTGATCAAAGCTGAACCATGTGCGTTCCAACAACAGTAAGCTCTCAACTGTCCATATAAAGTATGATAGGCATGCTTATGCACAGGAATACTTTTTTATTCTGTGTCTTTCATCTTCTCCCTTTGTGGCTCCATATTCTACATCTTCCCCACTGCTACTCTTACAATTATTAGGCACAGTTATCAGCAAACTTGCAGGGTTATCTTCTCTTATAGATGAACCAAGAGACACTAAAACATTTAAAGCTCAATCATGGTAGGAAAGCACAGGAAGAAAAAGGAAAAGCAGCACAGAACTGTAATCCTTTATGCTTTGACTGGCATTTCACTCTGCAGACAAAAGAACAGCTTCTCCCAGATCATCAGACATCTATACTACCTGCTTATCAACAGAATAAAAATATGCGCTTTCTTACATGGAATGAGGGTTGCATTATTTAATCTACTTTAATTCAGTGAGTAAACTTGAGATATGCCTGAATGTGACTGACTAGGGAAACATTGTCTTTCATTAAACTTTTTTTCTAAAGTTGTTTTTAATGGCAGTGCAGGGATGAACATTCATTATCTCTTCTGCAACTATCTTCTAGTCTGGCATATGTAAGCCATAACAGAAAAGAGATTCCATAGAAATTAGCATCTTACTCTTCAAGGTGCTAATTAAACAGCCAGTTCTCTTCATGTACTGCCCTGCTTTTGCCCCTCTTCTATGCAGGTTTTTGAGAAGAGGAATCAGTCATCTTCCTTGCTAATCTATCTGTGATAGGTGTTTGAGTATCTACATTGCAACACCTTTGCAACCAAATTTAGCAGTTCTAATTTGTTATACTGATTTTTTGTTATTGTTATTTTACATCAAAGCTATTCTAGAAATCAGCATGCAAATTGTAGAAGAATAAATCTAGAGAGATTTTGTTCCTTCTGAAAAATAAAATATATTTTGAGTGGAGAAATCATCAAAAGGAGGATTCTTTCAATATAACTTAGTTTCTCTTGATTTGTTTTTAGCATACTACAGCTAAGAAAGATAAAATGTTTCCCAAGTGAAGAGCTAGAGGCTTATGGTCTTTCATAGAGCTTTTACAAATTATTTTTCAAGAAGTTTTTCTGTTAGGTGGGGAGAACAGAACTCTTCGACAGTGTGTCACGGACTGAAGTAGTTCATGCCTTAAACATTGTTATGAAAGAGTTTTGCCTGTTATACTAGAAACTGTATAAAGAAGCTACAACCTCAGGAGCCTATCACTCCTTGAAGATGCCTGACTGGAACTTTACACTGTGAGTTAAGCTGCCCAGATAAGAAAAATGCAACGTTATGTTCAATCATCTCAAGTCCGGGGAGAAACAAACAAGACTGAGGGAAATGAATGCATATCCACAAGAAAGCCAAACCCAGCAGAGAACCATCCCTGGCTGGCTTTGGGTTGGGGGAGACCACAGCCCACGGAGGCCAGGTTTGCACAGACTCCCCACAATGGAGGGCTGAGGAGGAGGTTTCAGATGTGTGGTGTAACCTCTGGTCAGAGGCACTGAACACCCATCCTCCCTTACACAAAGCAGCCCAGCTGTGGAACCCCCAACCCCACAGGCCACATCCATGCTGCATTCACATGAGAGGCAGCTGAGGGGGTGTCATAATCTATCAAAGATCCTGAATGTGTGCCCTAGAGACCTTGTACCACAAGATTGCATGGATGCAAAAAGACGCAACAGATCCAGAGCCTGCTGCAAGAGACTCCCTCCTTCCAGGGGAGGCATCTATCTGGGCATTCTCAGCTGTCCTGGCCTGAGTGTATATTAACCCATTGGATTCTATGCTTTTCAGGGGGGGACACTCACCACCAAGATGACCAGCTGGAGAGGATCAGCAGAACATCGCTGGGATTCACACAGTAGTGATATTTTCTTTGATCTGTCTCTGTTACTCTCTTTCTGTCCCCCACCTCTTTTCTGTTTCTTTCTTTCTCTCTCTCCTTCTCTCTCTCTCTCTCTCTTGCTGTCTCTACATATTTATAATTAAATAAAATCCATATTATTGGCTTTGGCATATGGTTTTGTTAGCACCTTAATTCAAGCAGAGGCATTTATAATAACTCTAAAAATTGGACCATAACACAGTGATGGTGCAATAATAAAAGAGGTAAACTCATTATTAGAACGATTATCATCAGCACTTCACATTTGCAATAGAAAATTTCATTAAAAAGAGGAAGAATTCCATTGCAATGTAAGAATGTAGATTTATCTAAAATATTGCCTAATAAAATAAGGGCAGTCTTTCATTTTATTAATTCCTGGGATTGTTACAAAACATCCAAATCTTGAAATCATGTTGCAATTATATGCAATTTTTCAAGGCTTTTCTATACAAAGAACTTGACATACTAGACATACTAGTCTATCTCAAAATAAGACAGCCATTCTTGACTAGCACTTTGGGTACAGATGTTAATTATAGACTATTTTTATTATTCTAAAAAGGAGTGTCTATGGAAAATTCTCCAAGAATAACTGTTAAACTGAGCATCTCAAACAAATTCTTCCATTTTGGACTCTATGTGTTATTTAATGAAAAAAATTTCTACTCCAACTTTAAAAGGTAAGAAATATGGATAGCAGTCTTGTGCCCTTCTAATAAAGTACTTAACAGGATTTTTAAGAATATAATTGTTGAGCAAAGTACATAGAGAAAAACTGTATATATTACATTAACTATATGTATTACAACCACTTTTCCAGTAATTCTGTAAATGCCTTCAAAATACTAACATTTAATTGTTGGTGTTTCCTGTAGTTGTATAAAACAAGTGGAGAAGCCATGATCTAGTCATTGCTGAAATAAAAGAAGGGAATGGAAAGAAAATATGAACTGTACTAGAAAAAGTCAGAGAAATGTGGGGGAAACACTAGGAATTTGCTTCACTTGCAAGAGAAATGAAATAGTGAACAGAAGAAAGGAACTTTAGTCTGACCTCATGCTTGTATAAAACCTTTTCATTTAAATGGATTTACTGTAGTATAAGAGCTGTGTTAATGAATCACAGAATCACAGAAAGCTTTAGGTTGGAAGGAACCTTAAAGTCCATCTCATTCCACCCCCTGCCATGGGCAAGGACACCTTTCATTAGAACAGGTCACTCAGAGCCCCATCCAGCCTGGCCTTGAACACTTCCAGGGATGAGGCAGCCACAGCTGCTCTGGGCAATCCATGCCATCATGCTCAGTGTAAAGAATTTCTTCCACATGTGTAAACCTAAATTTTCCCTCTTTCAGTTTGAACCCATTATTCCTTGTCCTATCACTACATTTTCTGATGAAGAGTCCCTCTTCTACCTCCTTTCAGATGCTAGAAAGCTGCTGTGAGTTGTCCATGCAACCCTCTCTTTTCCAGGCTAAACAGCCCCAAATCTCTTAGCCTGTCTTAATCCAGGAGGTGTTCCAGCCCCCCATCACCTTGGTGGTCTCCTCTGGACCTGCTCCAACAGGTCCCTGTCCTTCCTGTGCCAGGAGCCCAGAGCTGGATGCAGCCCTGCAGGTGGGGTCTCAGCAGAGCAGGGCAGAGGGGCAGAATCCCCTCCCTGCCCTGCCACACAGAAGGCTTTGGATGAGCCCAGCACACGGCGGGTTCTGGGCTCCCAGCACACGCAGCCAGGGCATGTTAATTTTTCACCAACCATCAGTATTAATAACATCGTATCACCTATCCTTTAATTTAATTCCATACTGCCATTTCTTAACATTCCCCATGTTTATAACTTTTCCACTAGACTCTTGCCATATTTAAATGTTATATCAAGTCAACATTTCCATCATTGTCTGACTAAATAGTAAAACAGTCCTACTGAAATCAATGAACCTTTGTACTTGCCTAAACTATGATGTGCTGGGACACACAAAAAACTTTTCTGTTTTCAATGGGACAGTTTTGATTTTATTAAATGCATGTCATAATGCCAGTAATATATACTGGACATATATATATGCAGATTTTTTAAAGAAATATTACTTGTGTTCTGTATACATTTTTTCCATGTGAAAAAACAAACTAAGGAGCTTTTGCCATGAAGAGCATCATGGCATCCTACTTCTTTGCTCTCCATTAAAATAGCTGTTAGAGATTTTATTTATAAATTATCTTTCTTCATTTTGTTGCCCTCTAACAAAATATAGCTGACATTGCTGTACTGATTACCAAAAAAAAAATACTTGTGATACTTTTCTTGTTATAGAACTGCTTTACATCAGTGGTAATGCATTTTTCAGATGTCACTGGAAACTACTCGGATACACTATTAACTATCAAGATGAATAATTTTCCTTGATTCATAAATTTAAAGAACCATTACACCACCTGTATATTTAACAAAAAACTCTCCTAGTCTGGTATAAAATAATAACATAATAAAAGTGTTTTGAAGGTCACTGTGTGAGCCATCTCCTGCTGTAGGTGGGATTCTGTCCAATCCAGCTGTGCCTCCAGAGAGGCACAAGGAGTCACTGTGACTTCTTTCGCCTTAAAACAGCGCCTCGCCCTCACATGGCTTTTTTTATTAGCCGGAATATCCAAATGTTTGTTCCGTGATTCCACCCCGTTATCCCTACTTCCTCTCTGGGGGGATTTGCCTGAGGGAAACGCACCAACAGGACAACGCTCTTCTTTGAGAAACTAAATCTTTTCCTAACGAAAAGTTTATTCTGTTGCAACAAATGTCCTTGAGTTTATGAAGATATCCCAGCTTAAAAATAAATAAATTAACAAAACGGAGAGAAGAACTTCTGGATTCAACATAGCACAGTCCCCGGGATGGGCGGGGGCTTTGCGGGGGCGGCAGAGGAGAGGGATGCTCTCGGAACCGCGGCTCCCCGCTCTAGGGCGGGCGGGCGGGCGGCCAGGGCACATCCCCACCTCAAGCCCCAGTTCCTGCGTTCGGAGCGGGAGACGCCTCCTCGGACACGTTAAAAGTTTGGGGCGGCTCCGGCTCCGGAGGAGGCAGAGCACGACGGCAGGAGGCAAGAGCTCGGCGGGCGCTGAGCCCCCGGCCCCGGGCACCGCCCCACGCCGTCGCCGCGGGAAGATGGCGAGCCGCAGCCTGCGCCTGCTGCTCCTCCTTTTCGTGGGGCTCCTGAGCTGTAAGTCCCTGTCCCGCGGGGCCATCGCGAACCGCCGCCTCGGGGAGCTCCCCGGGCCTCCCGACCCGCTGCGGCGCTGGGCTGGGGGGGACGGTCCCCGCGAAATCTCCGTGTGGATGTTGAGGGTGATGGCTACCAGAGTGGTCGCTTCCCCTCCCTCATCCCGGAGCGAGAGGAGCCAAGGCGCGTCTCCAAGAGCGAAAGACGAACGAGCGCGTCCCCCCGCCACAGCCGGGGCGATGTGCGCTGATTCTTTCCATGTGTCTTTCCATGTTTTTGCGCAGATGTAACCTGTTTAAGGTCGGCCTGGTTAAATGCAAGTCAGCGGCCGTGCAAACTTTAGGATACGGGCTGCATAGTTTGTTTTTCTGATGGCCTTTGCAAGGCGAATGAACAAGGGGCGGGAGCGCGTTTTCTGTTGCCAACGCTGGCTGCTGCATCTTCGGAACAGACTTGAGTTTCCAGTATTTTTGTGGTCCTAACTCCTTAGGGAGTTAGTACTATAGTTAGTACCCTAAAAGGGTAAGATTAGAATAAGTTGAGCAAAGATTCCCCAGCTGGAAAGCACCCATAAACAATAGGAGAAAGGAGATATGTGCAGCACATACCTGCAGAGTTGTGATATGACTGTCACTTTCAGATCATGTCTTGCAGTGCTTCTGTTCTAGGGTTTTTGTGTCTTATTGATGTTTAGGGAAAGGGCTGTACATGAAAATAGTGTTTTGAAAAGACTTATGTAGCTTATGTCTTCCAATGAAATGATCACCTAGGACCAGACCAAGATGGGTTCTCAATCCATTGTAGATGTGGAACATTCATGGGTATATTTTGAGGTTTACCTTTCATTTCTCTTAACAGAAAGTTACCTAACAGAAAGCTCTGTGTGTGTAAGTTATGCATGTCTGATAAGTCTTTGGCTTGGAAATTTTTTTTCCTCTGTTTTTTCTCCTACAAGATCTTATGGAAATGTTGGGCTGTTAAATGAACAGCTAGTGCAGAAATTTTCTTTCACATAATAACTAATAATAATAATAATAATAATAAACAACATGGGTTTTGTTTTTTTGTTTTTTTTTTTTTTTAACCTAATTTCTTCTTAATTGCATGCTATACCTGAGCAGGTGAAACTGCTGTGATTTTTTTTGGTGACAGGTTTCACTGTGTTCAGGCTGCTCAGCCTTCTGGTTAGTCGTCTGTTGGCAGTGCTGGCTTTGACTACTAAAGAAATTATAGAGCATGCAATATGGTGCATCAAAGTCTGGTGCCTACATTGTTACCAGACTTGGAGGCTTCTTCTTGGTGGGCTTTTTTTTCCCCTTCCTGTCCCAATTCCAAAGAAACACTAGGTGAAAAGCAAGTTTACAAGCAAGGTGCTGATAAGAAGTATTTTCATTAAGAAACTGATTGTAGGCGCATGGGTGTGCAAATGCCTGTTGTTTGTGGGAGCCAGAGGAAAACCAGGAAGAAATCCAGGCAACCAGAAGTCTGCTGCTGCTCCTGTGGCTGGAGTGTGTTTACATGAACAGTAAGGCTGAGTAATTCAGGTGCCCTAGCATATGGGCTGAGCAGTCCCTTATGTGGGACCCACGTGTTCTGGAGATGGTGGAGAATGGGCAGAAACTAGTGAGGAAAAGGAAGTAGTGGTTGATACCTCACAAGCAGCATAGGGGTTGGCCTCTTCTCCCAGGCAACCAGCAACATGGAAGAGGACAAAGCCTCAGGCTGAGTCAGGGGAGGACATCAGAAGAACATGGAAAAGGTTGTTAAGCATTGGAATGGGCTCTCAGAGAGGTGGTAGGGTCACCATCTCTGGAAGTGTTCAAGAAACAACTGGATGTGGCACTCTGTGCCCTGGTCTAGTTGTGAAGGTGGTGATAGGTCAAAGGTTGGACTCAATGATCTTAGAGATCTTTTCCAGCCTAAATGGTTCTGCAATTCTGTGGTTAAATTGTGGAGGAGGTATAGAGAACTTTCTTGGTAGCTGAGCTGCAGAAATCAAAAGCTGTGTAAGTTGGTCACAGGACATCAGCATAGCCAAGGCAGATGATGTTTGAATTGCTTTTCATTGTGAACTTGCTAAGAAATATTAATGACCTGCAAAAATTATAGTTTCTGTGAGCTAATCTTCCCTTTCACCTTTAATTTAGGGAAAGTAAGGGAGCTGGGGGTCTTTAATCATGTTCTCTCTCAGTATAAGCTTCTGGAATTGACATCTCAAAGTTGTCAAAGGTGCCGCAGTATAAGACTTGTGAGCTCTGTTGGCAAGACAGAATATGTACAGAAATTGTTATTAACCATCACGGCTTCATGGGAAGAGATAGCATGTACTGAGCCTTTCTGAGAAGCGTCTAGATGTGATTTTTCTTAATATTAGTGCACATTGAAATTAGACTTCAGGTGGTGATGCTGGAAGCAAATGCAGGACAATATGTGAGTGTGAGGACAATGCAGAGGCAGTAAATAGTAGTCTTACTAAACATTTGATGAAGCTCACTGGGGTAGTTTGAGCAGTAAGTAAGGGTGATATTTTTTAAATTTATTTTGGCTCAAGAAAACCCCACTCCTTATTTATCAGAAGACTTTCACTCAGATACAGAGATTCTAGACCAAAGAAGCCTTTTGTTTCTTTCTCCCCCCAACCCTGACAAAAAAAATCATAAAGCATCACTGCATTGCTGTAGGAATTGACAGTGGAGGTGTTTAAACTATACTTTCTTCACTATATGTGATACACAACTGATGTACTCAAAATTAAGACTATTGTCAACCCTCAGCCTTTTGTTGAACCCTGTTTGTTTGCTGGATTAGCTTGGTAGGAACTGATTTCTAAATTAGGCCATATTCAGGTGAGATGGGTTTTCTTAAATTTGTAAAACTGCATACTTCTCTAGTAATGTCTGTTCAACATAGTGCTATAAAGCAGACAGCCTGGTTTTGGAGGAGGAGTGGGGGAAGAGGCATCAACTGAATGTTCATTCTCTTGTTGGTTTAGGTAAGAAGCAGTATTTCTTTGCTAAAGGCTGCTCAAGGTTTAGAAACATGCACAGACTCTTAGACACTGCAATATAAGTTGTAGGAGGATAATAAACTGCTATATGTAAACAATCAAATTAAAACTAAGTACAAAAAAGCAATGTTTGTTTCTAGTCTTCAGCCTAATATTTTCCATTTATGACTGTTGTAAGACTGCACAAGATACCCATATGCTTCTAAAACTGACACAAATTGACATGGTAGGAAAGACTACTTCTGTCTTTAAAAGGGATACGTGCTTCTCTCTAGCTTATTTAATAACCTTTACAATTTTACCCTCTTGCTTAGATCCTCATGCCTCAGAAGAAACTGGCTGTGAGTTCTGTCTCTCAGAAATCATGGCTTTTGCTGCATTTCAGCAAGTTATGCTGTTTTCCTTAAACCTGGGCATGCTGCTTAGAAGAGGCTCTGTATTCCTGAGAGGGCTCAGCTACAAGTGTTGCTACTCTCTCTCTCCTGTCTCTCTCCAGCAGAGGAAGCAGAGAGAGAGAGCTCTTCCTTGGTTGGCCCATGGCATCATTCTTCTAGGTTGCTGGCCCCACAGACTACTATTGGATGTGCAAAAGAGAAAATGAGGGTGGCTGTCTTCCCTCACTGTATGGAGGAGACAAGAAACATGCCTGGAAATGTTACATCAAGACAGTTGCAATTCCTTGTTTCTTTTTTAAGGTGGATGTTTGCAAGAGGAGGACTTGCTTTTGTTATTGCTTGGCCTCTGAGATCCAGTTTTCTCAGTTGCAACAATTCTTTGTTCATGTTGTAGGATACATATTTTTGGCATCTCATGTGAATATCGTAGGTCATCTGGCATTAATAATCACAGTTAAAACTACCACTGTGATTTGCAGATCTAATTGAGCCTGGATAAGGTCGTCCCATTGGCTATTTAACTGAATTATACAAAGAGATTTATGTGATTACTTCCTGTATTACACCTGTAATTCCTGCAGCCTGTTTTGGTAGCTGCCAGGCTCTGCTTCAGAAACTGGCTGATGCCAGTGCAAATGATTTGGTGAGAATACAGAAGTAGTTGAATTTTGACATCATCTTTTCGGTTGATTGATTTAACAGAACATCTGGTTACATCTTTCATGACCTAGAGCTACCAAACTTGTGTGTGTTCACTGACTAACTCCAAATGTTATTTGGGGTGTGGACAGACCTGTTTTTAAAGAAGTGAACTAAAAACTTTACAGCAGACACTTACCCCCCTCCTCCAAGGGTGCCCCAGGTGCTTTAATTTCTTCTCAAGTGGTGGTGGTCACTAGGGAGAAGTCCTCTTCTGAAGTATGGGAGAATCTTCTTGTAGATCTGATATTAGGAAAATTCAGTTTCCTCGTAAATTCACATGAGTAAATAACAGTAGTATTTCTTCACTGAAGATAAACAGTGACATGCATATGAACCTTCTGCACTAGCAGTAAGCAAGCTTCCTTTGTTGGAGATGGAATAGATTTGGGTTGATGGTGCTTTTAGAGAGCCAGGAACAACTAGTAATGTAGTTCTGCAGTTGGGATATAAAAGTTTCCATCTGGTATGAACTTCTTAGAATCCATCAACTCTCAAAATGTAATCCTCGTGTTGGACCACTTCTGAAAACACTTGCTCCTTGCACATGGTGAACCCTTTTAGGAACATTTTTCTTAAAGTACGGCTTAGTGTCATACTTTCCCTTAGAAATGCTAGAGGTGACTCCAGTACAAATGCTTATGTAAAGGAAGGTTACTTAGAAAATAAATATCTTGTCTATTAAAGCAACTGAAGCACAAGGCAGACATATGTATTTGGCCTTGCAGACTGTTTGCCAGGGCCATATGGAATGACTAAACTCCCTTGAAGTTATATAACGATATCAAGCAAAACAAAATTTGCATAAAATAGTGTCCTTGTGGATGTGTACAATGAGCTGTCTTACTGCTGTTTTTTCTTGTTTTGCTGGGGTTTTTTTCTCCACCATGTTAACTTTG